ATTTCTTGGCCTAGCTACCACTTGTTCTCCAAGATTGACACATTGGTGTTTTTATCTTATGCATCATAATGGCACTGTGTGCTTTAGTCTTTCATAGCACAGTCCATGCTGCTTTGTCTATGTCCCCCACTAGACAATAGCTGTCTTAGGGCAGTCTTCCAACTTTGTCTTCCTAGCAACCAGCATGCCAAGTATGTAAGATCCACTTAAAAGTTTTTGAATAAATTATTTATTTATTCAGTGAATAAACCAAAATTGCTGTTGAAAGACGGCATTTCAAAACAGCTATTTGATTTTTAAAATCTTAATTCAATAGATCTCTATTACTATGTAATATTAGACACCTGCTATCTAAAAGTGGCAACTTGAAATGTATGTCACATAACTTTGAATAAGTACAATAACATATATATTATTTAGAAGTAGATAACTGTCTATATACACATACATACAATTTGAATACTCTGTATATGAACTGTGGTAAAAACAATTGTTGTATATGCGACTTCTAATTAGCATTTATATGTCAAACTAAAGCAATATAGTCAACTTCCTCACTCGACATGGTACTTAAATGACCATGGAAAAATACGTATTTTAAAGAGTGGTAACCATTCAGGTTCCACTTTAATGCTCCCAAATCATGTTAATAATATGACAGGTTTCTGTTTTAATGGACTTTATCATAATGGATTAAGTAAGTGTTAGAATAAAGCACGGGCAATATATGTATGTAATTTATCACTCCCTCAAATTGGTACTTCCTTAAATTGGAAATTGGAAGTTGATTCAGAAAAAAATAATCATGATCTTAAAAATGAGAGAACCATAAGTGGCAAGTAAGAGGAGCTGGGCGGAATCATTCAGTCACTCATTCTCTTACTCATTTTTGTACTTGTGGCTCTGTATATTTGCCCTCTAAATCAACTTGCAAACTTAAGAATAAATGGACAAACATGCGTCCCTTCAGCAGCTCCTTTATGTGATCAATTAAAATGAGACAACCTTATTCAAGTATGACAGTAACATGTGCGTGTGGGTGTGAATGTGGTGTGTGTGTATTTATTACCGTTGCTCATAACTCCTCTTTGAAGTTAATATTATTCAAATAGAACTTGGAGAAAAGTTCTCATTAAATGTAATGAATTCAAAAATTTTCAGTTTCCACTCAGGTAAGAAAAAAACAGACACCTCCAAAGTATACCAACATATTCTTAATTTAGCCAAATTAACAACATGAAATTTGGCTTTACATAAACCTCCATGGATTACAATGCAAACCTGCATTGATTTACAAAGTGAACAAATAAAGGTAAATGGTGATTTAATGATAATATCTCCATGCCTTTCAAAACTTTCCATTTCAGATTTAATATTTAATTAGTCCAACTATATGCCTTCATACCACGGGGAAATAACCTCTCAGTCATATTAAGATAGTCAAACATATTCTTGCCAATTTTCTATGTAGTGTACCTAAGCCTCCCATGTGATAGACTTAACAGATGCATTATTCAGGATATGTGAGTATAAATATTTAAAATGTGTACGTATATAATGGATACCTAAACAAATGCATGTATGTTTTTGGAATGAATGCTAAATTTGCATCTTTCACTGCCTAGCAGATGGAAGGTAACAGTGTTGCTGATGGTCGCTGACACATTTAAGTCAGTATTTCTGTGAATAATGGGGAAAAGATTACACAAAAGAATTAGAAGAGGTTTTAGATATGCCCTTATTAAAGAACCTGCGACTTTCATCAAATTGCCAGTTCACTTTTTAATATAAATCTTTATTGTTGAAAGTATTACATGTCCCTTTTTATCCCCCCATTGCCCTTTGCCCCCTCCCCGCAAGCCTTCACCACCCTATTGTCTGTATCTGTGGGCTATGCATATACACATATGAGTTCATTGGTTGATCTCTTCCTCCCACCACTCTCCCCTGCCCCCCTGTTTGCTTTTGGGATGACAGGAGTGTGACCTTGCCCACAGCTGAAGGATTTGTGATAACTACACACAGAGAGCAGAGACAAGGGCCAACATCAATACTTAGATGGAAGTCTGTCATGGTTTCTCAAGTATGTGCCTTTCTGGTGATTCTCACAAATCTAACTAAACCTTACAAGTGAGACTAAATGAGAAAGTAGATACTACATAGGTATTTAATAGTAGTAGTAATCGGA